TCTATCTATCTATCTATCTATCTATCTATGTATGTATGTATGTATGTATGTATGTATGTATGTATGTATGTATGTATGTATGTATGTATGTATGTATCTATCTATCTATCTATGTATGTATGTATGTATGTATGTATGTATGTATGTATGTATGTATGTATGTATGTCTGTCTGTCTGTCTGTCTATCCATCCCTACTTACTAACATGCCATCAAAGAGAGGAAGAAGTTTCTGGGGGTTATCAGATGTTATTATGATATGATATGATATGATATGATATGATATGATATGATATGATATGATATGATATGATATGATATGATATGATATTATATTGGATATAAAGGATGGCAATGGTGACTGTCAAAAGATGTGTTATATTTTACTTGTGGTAACATTATAATGTGGTTCATTATTACTCTCACTGATGATGATTAACTGGTGGTGTGCTTTAGTTGTGTTTGTAATACTTTGTCATCCGTGAAACTCTCTGGTGTGTAGTTTATCCTGATACACACACTGCTGACAAAGTGGTTTAACAGAACAAAAAAACGGGGGAATAACACAAAGGCTGTTTTAGCTTTTTTATTTGACAGATGTGATCATGTTAAAAACTTTGGAAATTGATTCAAATCCATTTGCATTGAGGACCATCACATTGTATTATGGTGTGAATACAGGTAGTGGAAGCCCATTTGTTATGGCCATTTAACATATGAGTCAATACATGCAAAGCTGGCTAGATTACTTACAATTTGTAATCCATTACTGATTACAGATTAAATTTCCCAAACTGGGCTTAATGTAAGAACTGCAGTTGGTTTGTGAGTTGATAAAAAGCTAATAATTAATTAAATTGGATATAAAGGATGGCAATGGTGACTGTCAAAAGATGTGTTATATTTTACTTGTGGTAACGTTATAATGTGGTTCATTATTACTCTCACTGATGATGATTAACTGGTGGTGTGCTTTAGTTGTGTTTGTAATACTTTGTCATCCGTGAAACTCTCTGGTGTGTAGTTTATCCTGATACACACACTGCTGACAAAGTGGTTTAACAGAACAAAAAAAAGGGGGAATAACACAAAGGCTGTTTTAGCTTTTTTATTTGACAGATGTGATCATGTTAAAAACTTTGGAAATTGATTCAAAACCAATTTGCATTGAGGACCATCACATTGTATTATGGTGTGAATACAGGTAGTGGAAGCCCATTTGTTATGGCCATTTAACATATGAGTCAATACATGCAAAACTGGCTAGATTACTTACAATTTGTAGTCCATTACTGATTACAGATTAAATTTCCCAATCTGGGCTTAATGTAAGAACTGCAGTTGGTTTGTGAGTTGATAAAAAGCTAATAATTAATTAAATTAGGGCTGCACATTCAGTCGAATTTCTAATCACCATTACAATTATGGATGCCACAATAACGTAATTGTTCAAAGCGGCAATTAATTGCTTAAAGTCCACTTATGTTATTCTGCGTGCTTACAGTAAGATGTTTTTGCTCTCTTCAGGTTATCTTAAGGGTGTTTCCATTGTTTCAATTTTAGTTTTAGTATAACATTTTAATAACATGCTTTTTTTACTTTTTTATTTAAAGAAGAAACCAATCCAATGTAAAGTTAACATTTGAGGCTTAATACTATAGAAAAAGCAATACAAGTTTTTTTTCAGTTAAAGTGTTTTCAACTTGTTTATTTTCATCTAAAAATATGTCACGCGGTTGCTTTAAAAAATGGTATAAACATAATTCAATGTAAATTGTGACAATTTTAATTAATAATCGGGTAACACTTTATTTTCATAGTCCACTTTAGACATTCTGCTAACAGTAAGTAACTACATGTCAACAAGCAGTCATAGAGTATTAGTAGACTGTGTGCTTAATATCTTCTAACACTTTATTTTGATGGGTCCACAACATACAACATACTGACTATAAGAAACTTTGCAAGTATATGTCAACTTATTCTACTAACCCTAAACCTAACCTAACAGTCTACTCTGAGAGTTAGTTGACATGTAGTTGCAAATTAATGAGAATTAGTTGACATGTAGTTGCAAAGTTACTTATAGTTAGTATAATGTCTAAAGTGGACTATCAAAATAAAGTGTAACCACTAACCACTAATAAAAATGTCAAATAAATTATTTAAACACTTGAACACTAAAAATAGACATATTTAATTTGTTCAACTGCACATCAGTGTGGCCATTAAGTGACATCAAACTGTAAACATGCAAATGTATTGTTAAATTACTGAATTATTAACTTCTTCAGAGATATTTCAAGTAAATATATATATATATGTTTGGCTAATACTTCCAGAATCAACAGCTCAGGATGAAGGCATAGTGTTTCAGAGCCATACATCACAAGTGTTTAGTAACTTTCATTATTATTCGTTATATACATGGTCTAATTACTTTGAACGGGTGCTTTTTTCCCCCAAAATCAGAAGCATGGTTTTCAAACTTATTTTTTATATTTACATGACCATTCTATATTGTGGATATAGTGGAAGATAAATGGTATGCCACACAACAAGATTTTTGGAAAGGAAGAAAAGAAGAATTAGGGGGAGTCAATGAATGGTAAAGTGCAACACTTTCTGACGATTTGTTAATGTCTTTGTTTTTAATATATGATTCATAGGGAGTTCATGCTGATTAGTTGAACAAACTATTTTTTAGTGTATTTCATTATATTCAATGATAGTGTATATGTGACCATGCACCACAAAACCAGACCAGTTTGTTTTATTATTATTATTGAGACTTATACACCATCTGAAAGCTGAATAAATAAGCTTTCCATTGAATTATGGTTTGTTAGGATAGGACAACATTTGGCTGAGATTCAACTATCTGAAAATCTGGAATTTGAGGGTGAAACAAAAAATTAAAATAATACAAATATTGAGAAAATCGCCTTTGAATTTGTCAAAATGAAGTTCTTAGCAATGCATATTACTAATAAAAAAAATACGTTTTAATATATTTGTGGTAGGAAATTTACAAAATATCTTCATGGAACACGATCTTTACTTAATATCCTAATGATTTTTGGCAAAAAAGAAAAATCGATCATTTTGACCCATACAGTGTATTTTTGGCTATTGCTACAAATTGCTACTTATGACTGCTTTTGTAGTCCAGGGTCACATATTACAATGTTAGCTTATCAGTTAAAGTTATTACAGAGTGATACGCAGATACGCAAAAACGCTTCCAGTGGAGTTGTGAGTGATGTAATTTGACAGCGCGTAAAAGCGCGCTGGACTCAGATTACAGCCTCAGCGTTTCTCCTAGCGCGCATACTCATACTAGAGACTCCAGATGTGGACATCATCGCTGTCAGGTCAGTCAGACCTTCCGAGTGGACAGAAGCAATCTATCATGTTACCTTTCGCCCTTGGTCTGTGTTTATTGCCGCTCTGCGCTGCAGTCTACAAGGGCCCTTTGCTCCCTGAAATATCCAACGGGACTTTTCACCACTTCTTCGTCCCGGACGGTGATTACGAAGAGACCGAAGACCCTGAGAAATGCCAGATGCTCTTTAAATGGATCGACCGCAGACCGTGTCCGCTGGAGGAAGACCAGGACTCGATCATACGCGAGGATTTTATCATCATTAAACAACAGATAGAAGACGCGGCACGCGTTCTGGAGAGCCTCGGGAAGAGCGTTTCCTACGACCTGGACGGCGAGGACAGTTATGGGAAATACCTGAAGAGGGAGATCGTGCAAATCAACGAGGCTTTTACAAACGTGGAGAAATCTCTTCTGGAGCTGGAGACGAAATTCAAGCAAAGCCAGGATACCGAGCAAAGAGAGGAGAGCGAGTTCACCAATAACTTCATCAACCCCATGTATAATGTGAGGGACACTCTACAGGAAACTCTGGACATCTCGTCCGGACTCAAGGATAAGCAGGAGCTCATCTCTCTGATCATTCGGAGTCATGGATCCAGGTTAAGCCGGCTTAAAAATTAACACCTGAATGTTTAGACTCACAGACCTTCTGGACTACAGTCCGAGTTGGATTGTTTTTCCGAGGAATGTTAAACGTTAAAAGTGTGAAACTCTTGTTTGCTGGTTCCTTCAAAAAATGAAGCGCTTCAATAGCATTTTGAATTTCATACATTTGTTATATGTTCCTTTGGAGATTGAAAAAAAAGTAATTGAGGCTTTATTATGGAATCATCAGTGGTTTCTGGGTTTAAAACACTAGTGCAACAAATTCTTATTGGAATTTTTATTTAAAAAGTGTAAAATGTAAAGCCAATGCAGACGTACCAGCAAACCTGAAGCCATAAAAACCTTTAAATGTAAACATTTTCTGAGTAAATAAATACAAAGAAAACTTCTTTAATATAGAAAAGATTGTATGAATAATACCATTTTCCAATTTTTGTCTCTGGGCACGCATGCAAATAACTGTAGACCATCACAACCAAAATTACACTGAAGCATAAAACATATCCTAAACCACACATTAATAAGCTAAAACATTGCACCAAAATCACTGTGCTGTTGCTGCATGTTAATTTCTAACCAGAACAATGAAGTGCTTATAGATGTTTTCTACCCACAGTCTCCCGGGCTGGGACTGTTTTCTTTTTCTTCCTCACATTCAGAGTTTTATTCTTGCTGGAGGTTAAAGCTCAAGGAAAGAATGTCTTTACTAATGGTTTAGTGTTACCAGATCTGAGCCTGTTCAACAACATCTCATATGGATCCAGTTTCAGTGGTTTTGTTGCAAAAAGAGGAATAAACAACAAAAAGCAAATCATTCTTGATGGAAAAGAAGCTGTCTTTATCTGCCAACCAGAGCCGTATCGTTGAGGTTTGACTGATGTATTGGTTTTGTTAGCTTTCCAGTGAACATCCTTAGTGTTTAAAGTAAAATGATTTCAGATGCTCACCTCAGCTTTCATGTGCCAACTGCTATAAATCACACTGGGACTGTATGTTTGAGTGTATCTGAAGTTCCAGTGGCAAAATTTTTGTCACCAATTTTGTAAAATACATTTCTTCTTGATTCATTGGTTCATTCCATCATTTCTCTAGGTAATGGTTTTTCTTGGTCTTTTCTTGCTTTCAATTATGTTAATCATATTTTATTTTGAAATGTTCCCTTTTCTTTTAAATGGAAAATTCCTATCTTGTTCTCTTGTATTTGTTCATAGATTCTACCCTGAAATTGCATTCAGTCATCGTGCTTTCTCTGTCATTTGATGACTTAGGCCTACTTCATATATGTTCTATAAAGTAGACGTGCTAATCCCTGTCATTTACAAAAAGCACGACCCTTCTCCCCTGTGAATATTTTTTTTGGCTACTTTTAGGAATGCTGCCTATTTGAAAGTACTGCTTATAGTGCTTTTTGCTTTTTATATAGTATTCGGATGCTAAGTTTGACTCCAGAGTGCTGTACTAAATCACTCTCTATTCCCAATGTAGTGCACTGTATATATTCTACTGTGGGTCCACCATCCCGCAAAGTTTAGCTCCAACCCTAATCAAGCTCACCTGGAAAACTAACGGAAGTCTTCAAGATTACTTGGCAGAAATTAGAAGTTAACCCAGAAGTGGCCCACTCCTGGTCTAGCAAATACTAGTATTAGGGTTAGACAGGCACAACCGTGAGATATGTGGCAGACTCATAGTCCTGCAGTGTGAAATGTCTTTTTACTGGAAATGACATCGGCGATGACCTACAGCCAATGAGAGAGCTCGGGAAAGTTCAGTGGGAGGAGTCATAACAGATCTGCAACAGAACATCAGCAAGCAACCAATCTTTCCTTTATATACTCTTTTATTTATTTAAATTTTTTTCAAGGCACATGAGTTTACAAACTATTTGGATTGCAAGCTTTTTGCGGGCCACCGTTTTTGACAGGAATAAATCCATTCTCACGTCTCTTATTTCCCATATAAATTGTTGCGTGTTTTTGGTTGTAAAACGTAGTTTGTAGACCAGACAAAGTTGTTCGGTGTTTCGTCCAACTGAAAAGTGTAATATGTGACCCCCTGTCGCCAATCCGTTTTCAGTGTTGGAGTAACTAGTTACATGTAATGGAATTACAAATTGTAATGTAACTGTAATCTGTTACAGTTACTGAGGAAAAAAATGTGTAAGTAAATTACAGTTACTTATAGAAACAATTACAAAGGGGGTAACATCTGAATATTTTCACAAACAGATTTAATTGATTTTTTTCCCAAATTGCGTTGACTGGATGCTCTAAAATATGAGACACCAATGTTTCAGGAGTTTAGGACACATGCTTATTCAATAACTGTTTTATTTCCTATTTAGGTTAATGTATCTGTTTTATTATTATTTTTTTTTAAGATAACTGTTTTTTCCCCCAAGGCATTGTTAGATGCCAGTGTTTTGGATGGATGTAGTATGTCTGTGAAGGTATTTACATGACACACATAAATACCAACAGAACACAACAAGCTGATCATTGAATTCAACACATGCTTTCTAAATTCAGCCCAGGTGTTTCTAGTTTAACTCATTATTTTTGTATAAATATCCTCATAAGTATTCCCCTCGTCTGCTGTCGAACACGAAATGTTTCCTATAACAAGTTTATTAAGTTCATGAAAGGTTTTGTTAAAGTTTGTTCATGTCAGGTTTTCTGTAAAGCCATGCTTGGGTTCTTAATAGTGTATTTTGTTGGTGTTTGTTACATTCTCAGGAGCATTTATCACATGTCAGGAGCTCTAGCTACACCCATTTGTTTTAAATGATCTCGCTCATTTTGTGTATGTAATAATTCATTTTGTGTGTATAGACTTGTGAGGGCTAAATGTGCTCAAAATGATGAAACATGTTGAAAACATCCAGTTGATGTGCTTGTCACTGTTTGAAAGCCAAATCATGTTTTACTATAAATCGAATGATGTCAGCGGGTTTTTGTGAGCGATAGCTTTAGCGTATAGTTACTATCATTAGCTCCCAAGGCCAGTGTGTGTGTGTGTGTGTGTCTTCTGGAATCTGCTCTTGGTAAACAAACAGCAGCTGGTGCTCATCATAGCACCCCCACACCTACAACACACACACACTATATCAACACAGAACCATTTCTAGCTAAACTGTTAAGTGTGTCTTTCTTTCAGAATCTTCATCAGTCATTATCATATAAACAGCACATCTGCGTAGTGTTTAGTGCTGAACTCTAAAGTTACTCTGATATCTTCAGAGTGTTTTGATAGGGATTAAACACAGTTTTCAACGTACACTCAGGTTCTGGGAGTTTAATATAAAGCATCAGAATAGAAAGAGAAGTTTTTGGCTTCATATTGAGATCTTGCTGACCGTGGTAAAATTTGAGCACATTTTTAGGAGATTTCTTTTGATTACTGTTTTGTTTTGTTTTTTTATTCTCAGCAAAAGTCTCAATTTTATTCTCAGAAACAATTATTCTCATTTGTGATATTTCTTTCTCGTGGAGACATTGAACGGCTGAAAAGAGAAAGCGGTCTGAAGTTTGGAGTGCTGAGAGAGATTTGATCCTGACCGCCTTCTTCTTTGTGTGTCTCACCTCAGAGTCCCTTTCCCCCAGTGGGACCCCAGTCCAAACACAAGCCTTCCCCATCCAGCCTTCAGCCGCTCTGCACACCAGCTCCAAACCACAACCACTACCGCTTCATCATCCAGCTTATGGAGAATGAAACTTTTTATGTGAAGTTTAATGCATAAGTGCAATTTTATGAGCAGCACTGAAATTCCTCAGTGTGTGGCATAACATGTTTATGCTGACATGAATGATACCTCTCTCTCTCTCTCTCTATATATATATACAGAAATTTCTGCAATAAGTATTCATTTTCAATGCATGCTAAAATGTAGAGACTGGAAGCTTGAGAATGGGCTCTTTTGGCTTGGGACTGTGAGCAACACCTTAGCAACCAATTAGAGTACCCTAGAAACCATCTAGCAATGCCCAGGCAACCGCCCAGATCAATGAGGTGTCATGGCATTAACTTAACTAAAACTAAACTTAACTATTAACTAAATTGGCAAGAACCGCTCACATTTTCTTCACCAAATGTTTAGTCTAGATGAGTGGAAAAATAGAACAAATCAGAAACAGGAGGCAATGAATAAACAAACCCTTTGAGATTCCACCCGTGTGCTTTCAGTTTTATTCAGTTTTGAGTATCAGTGGACTCTTTTTGGGATCCAAATGAATTGTTCATGCTTGAAATTGTTGGTAGGGTCATTCTTTACCCTGTGTAAACATAACTTATTTTGTTTCATATTTTACACCCAATACCATATTTCACAGATTATCCTGCATTAGTAATGAATTCATGTTTATAGTCAGCTTCTGAAATTTTACTCAATAACAAAGCACACAAATGTTAAATAGGATAAGCTAAGCTAGTCATTTTAGTAAAAGAGCAGCAAAAATCACATAAAAATTAGTAGAAAAGAAAATATGTCTCAAATATTGCTTAGTTTAACATCACGTGGGTCACAGTAAACAACATTTTACTCAATGTTTTTTTTTAAAAAGACAACGAAAAAGTATTTCATGCGATATTTTGTACCGTATTTATAAAAAGCTGCATAAATCTACTGAACTAAGAGTTTCTCAAATCCATCTAAAGCTAGATCGTAAGACATCTGTGCAAACAGACGGATGTGGATTCTCTCGTTTCTGTTTCAGATTCCAGCGTACGGAGAAAGCGAGACGCTGTGTTAGCAAAGCGTGCTTGTGTTTTACTGAAACAGATACTCACATCCTGACCTGAAAAAACACCTGCGCATTCACAGCCATTACTCTGTCAATGGGAATAAAGGGAAATTGTCCTAAATTGTCCTGATTTTCCTTTAAAATATGGTCGTTTCGTGATGTTTCGGACACAAATATGGATAGGGAGAATTGATTTGGAAAAACTGAATGTTTACCACAGTAAAAGGACAGATCTACCCTACCTAGACGTGAACAGTGACTCATAGATGTGAACAAGACTTTTCAGACAACATTTTCCACAGTTTAGTCACAGACCACTAAAATAAAGCCGATTTTTGTGAATTGGCTCATATGAGGCATTTAAAATGATTCTTAAATATATTAACTATATGTAAAAGTTAAATAAACACTTTCATTGATATGTTAAAATAAATGCTGAGGTTCAAAAGTCCTGACTGACACTGAAAACATTCAATAAGAACTTTGCGAAAAAAGAGTTGTGCCACATGAAAAATGCACAGGTTTACTTTGCTGATCCGCTGCATATTGAAAATGTTCTTGGTCAAACAATATTCTTTGAATTAACTGTTTTTTAGTTTAGTTTGAATCAAAGGAATGCTTAGCTTGGATGAAGCAAATCTTCTGCCCAAAATCATGATGGATGTGGTTTGGAGAAGTCTCAGGAGCCCAAAATAAAGTTCATGACTTCTGTTC